TGACACAGGCAGAGTGTGTTTTCAGTCGGAAAGCCAAGAAATAAAGAGCAACATAAACCATGTAATCAGCCAGAAAGGTCACACAGGCTAAGTGTCCAAGACTGCTAGCGCACTACTTCTTAGCTGTGGCACTCTGCAGCAACTGAGTACACACTCGCTCTCTTTCAGCTTTAAATGCATCACACCATTAATCTAAACTACCCCGAGTAGTTTTAGACGGGCTCTTACCATGCCAGCCACCAATACACAGAATTCAATTCAATTTATATCCATGCTGTGAAAGAATTAATCCTCATGCCGAAATGTTCATTAGTTCCCGAGTTTCCTCATCAGCTTAACTAGCCAAACAACAGCTAGAAAAGCAAATTAAACCAGGAAAAACATGCACAAAGCTGGAACCCTTTGGAGCGCACTTGGCCGAATGTCCTACCTTAACCCCTCTCACTCTGAACTCAGCCAGAGCTCGGCTCATCTTGGAGGCTGCTGTGTTCAGGTCCTTTCCGCTGGCGATGACTTTCACTAGTAATGAGTCATAGTGTGGGGAAATGACGGCACCCTGGAAGGCCGAGGCGCTGTCCAGACGGATGCCCATGCCCTCGCCGCTTCGGAAGACCTGGCAGGAAGAGCACGGCACAGGTTAATATTTTTGAAGGAAAATGTCTGTCATTGCACAAGAGAGACATTTAATATAGAAAAAACGTCATTATTGATAGTCTGTTATCAGTATATAATACATTTTCAGTACACTCAGGACAAATTCTCAATTTCTGCAATTTCTGATATGTTCATTAACAATAAACAAATGTGCAAAACAATATATGCACAGTATTTTTGTGGATTTCATTACATTGGATTTTTCTGCAGTTGGCAAGATAATACACTTGGATAATTTGCCAATACAAGATTTAGTGTTCTCATTAGGGATATTATTGTATTACCCTGCAGGGTCTAGTAATGCTACTGAATGCATTTTGCCCCCAGCTATTCCTCTTCGATATATTTTACAGGAAGCACTAACATTTGTGTTATTTCTGCTATTGAAACTGCTATTAACTGGTTGTATTTTCACTACTTTTGAAACAGACAATACTGGTATACGTCCCTGCAATCACTGTTTGAGCTGGGATCAATGACCAGTGCAGGCACATCTATTCAGACCCTGAAAAAAGCATATTTAGGAGCCAGGCAGGAAAAGTATCCTGGTGTCTCAGTGCACTGAAATGTAACAGTGTGTTAGATTCAAATTAAGCTTTTCAAGTTCAGTCACATGTCTCTCATCACTCCCTCATTTAAAATATAAAAGTTAACTTTAAAAGACCAAAAGCTAAAATATTCTGCTCCTTCTGACAGAGCTGTTGTTTAAACAGACATTGAAGCGTCACATCTACCAGGTGCCTGAGACCTCAGCATAACGTAACATACACTGAAAATAATGGAGGCCGGATATACAAGAAGAGGAAAATAACGAGATGAGAGTGGAGAAAATGAGCATGAGATGAGTGAGAAAGGCTGAACTGTTCCAAACCACTTGGCAAGAGAGCAGAGAGGAAGGCGAAGTGAAGAGGAGAATGAGGAGTGTCCAACACTACAACATATGGAGCCCCTCGAGGGCAGGAGGAGAAAGGAGTCGAAATTATAATTATAACAATGTTTTGCCACACTGGTGATCTGCTGCTAATATTAACAGATGAAGTAGATGTGCAGAGCTGTCAACATTCATAATAATATTTTTTCATTAATCATTTGCGCCACAACTCGACATTTCATCTAGTATGACCCCTCTCTAGTATGACTCCCTGCCACATTTAAAAAAAATAAATTGTGATAGTAATGTTTTAAAAAAAAAAAATCAAGCCAAGCCTCATCTCTGTTTTTCATGGGAAGTGGAAAATCAGAGCAGCAATTTAATGTGCAAACACATAAATACAGAACATAATGAAAAGCTTGAAAGTCAGTATTTAGTATGACCATTTTTATTCAACATGGTCTGGACTCTCTTAGGCAGCTTTCTTTAGTCAAAGTTCTCCAGGCTTCTTAAAGGACATTCAGAACTCTTCGTAGGTTGCTCCCCTTTCTTCTGTTCTCTGTCCAGAGACTAATGTTGAGGTCCGGCCTCCGCGGTGGTCGACCCATGAATGATGGCATTTAAATAATAATGTAATATGTATACTTTATTGATCCCTGTGGGGAAAATCCTCTCTGCATTTAACCTTTCTAGACTATATTGCATGGTGGAACATCTGACCCCCACTATGTCTTAAAGATGTCTGTAGACCCTCACTGATCCTACTCCATACATGCCGATGATGATTTCAACCAAATCTTTCAAATTTGGATTCCTCGCTCCATAAGACCTGTTGCGACTAATTTTTGGTCTTCTCCACAGCCACACTTCCACCGAGACAATTTCTGAGGCTTCACTGAACAGCAGAAGGATAAACTAACGGGCCTGATGCAGCTCTCAGATCCTGTGTCAGGTCTGTGGCGTGTCCATTTCTCAAGGATGTGACTTTTAGATACTGCTGTAGATAGTTTGTTTTAGGCCTGGTACTTCTTACTTTGTCTTCTATTTGTCTGGTTTGTCTGTTCAAATGTGCCATTTTTAGGCAAGTGGTTCTTTGGGAATCACCCTGTTGGTGCAAAAATACTATTTTATGCATTAAAAAACTATTGTCTATAGCAATTTTTACAGATTTGACTAAAGAAATGGGACCAAATCATGTGTATCCAAGGACAGAATTTCACATTGGCTCTTTATTAAATTGTAGTATGCATAAACACAAGACCTGTTCATCCCATGAACAAGGTGCCAGTGTTATGTGGATAAACAGAAAACTAAAAATTCCAAGAAAAACTTTGAAAGGCCTTTGGAAAATTTGAGCACCGTTGGTCAGGATCACTTACAAAAAATAAATAAAAAAAATAAAAATAAAAGTCTAAAGCTTCTTGGAAGCAAAATATAAAGTAATGAGATGTGTCTCAACACATCTGTACACCATTTCTTTACCATTGACTTGTGGTAGAACAAAGTTAACCATTTAATCGCTGCAGAATTTGCTAAGAGTGCTATCAAAGCGTTATGAGAGTTAGCACAAGAGGTGATGCAGCTAGAATAACTAGGACTGCACATTTTAGTGCAAGTATTTTTGCACTTGATGGATTTAACAGTTAAAAAAAAAAGAAAGAAAAAAAAAAAGGACAAGTTGGCGATGATGGAAATTGTGGTTGTAGGCAGGTTCACTATAAACTGGACAGTGTCTTAGAAAGACAGACAAGAACCCACAGTTTCTGTGTCAAAACTGAAAAAAGCCCAATCAGCCCAAATGAACACATGTAGATGCAACATTTAAGCCAAGTTAAGTGCCGCAGCAGGGAAGTAAAAGATGTGAAACTGCAATTTAGACATCAATACATCTGATCATCAAGCTGAATACTAAATAAATACCAGGAGTATTGATGCATTTTTCAATTTGAATTTAATATTTCAAAGAATGATTTATTCATTGAGATGTCCTCCACCAAGGAAGAGTTTTGATTTGTTTCAACTCAGCTGGAGACCAAGTGGAGAGAGACTGCCTGCAGAGAGCAATATCCTGTTTCAAGGATCTCCCCTTTGATATGGGGCTGGTCATCAGCACTTCAAGTGTAGCTCAAGTAGATCTCAAATGTTTAGACTTGTATTTTACAATTTACAAGCTACTCTGCACATATTAGACCAAGTTTCAGCCATGCTTGTGTAAAAAGTTGATCAAATCTTCTCAATAGTGCCTGATAAATTAAGATGTGGAATACCTACTTGAAATTGCCCAATCTCTACAGTGTTGTTTGCATTGTTTAA